AGCTTTCAACTTCGTTGGAACTCCGCTCGACAGTGTAATGCCGTCTTCTCACTCCATTTCAGAAAAACCTCCACCTGGAAGCGTATCGGTTCTGAATATGATGTGGAATGAATGTACCCGGGATGCGGATGCTGATGGGTGCTCCGAGCGGGAAGTTTTGGTTGCAGGCGTTCTGTGGACAAGTTAGGTAACATTACCAATATGACCCCGGGGACTCCCCGAGGTTACATTAATAATGCCACCTAGTCCGACAATGAAACATCGGTAGCCGATACTTCCAGCTTGAAGAACTTAGTAACATCAGCAATGTCAATGCTGCTAACTTTGTACGACGGCCGAGAAAAGCCTGATGAGCATCGATTTCGGTGGTGAACTGGGATGAAAATGCTTGAACTCGACATCGACTTTCGTAAAAATCGATCGTAATAGCGATCGTAATAGACTTCTGAGACTGCCCCAGTAGGGAAAGGCAGGGCCGGAGTACAGGGCGGTCAAATAAGCTCAAAGCCGTTGGTAGATGGGAGAAAATAGAAACTGCGGGTCTATGGAAGGAATGGTAAAGAGCGAGAATTTGGTGAAGGGTGAAAACTACAATGATGGTTGAAACTGCTGTACAGTCCACCATGATGCATAACCTTACAACACAATAAAGATTTATATTTAACTATTTCAACTCAAAACAACAAATACAAAAAAAGCTCAGTTGACCCAGGATGGTGCAAGAGAGGTGGGCGACCAACTAACTTACCGACCATTGGTTGAACGAGGTGAACACCTTGGTGCGTGCAATATCCGGCCTATCCCATGCCATAGTTAATGATAATTGTTCAGCTGGTGTCAACTTCTGACTGGACACTATGGGAGACAAAAACAAAAGCGGGTTCATCATAAGCACAGCAACGGTAAGAAAACCAAATCACGGTTAGCGACAGAGCATGAAGAAATTGGGTAATGATATGCTGCTGGTGGGTGGAATCCCGCCAGGTTTTTCAGGACAAAGCGGGTGAATATGTTGAAGGAACACATACCTGGAGCCTTCGGTAATTCAAAGCCTGACCGAATTCATTGTTATGGGATGTAAGTGAAATACAAAAAAAACAATAATATACGAACGACGCAGATCACACTATTTACTGTTTCCACGAGTGACTCCACATAGACCTATCCACTCTGCATATCTTGAGGCACTAGACACTCATTAGATAATGGATGTGCTATTACCAGACTGGTGTTCCTCAAATGTGTCTAAATCGCGTATGCCGTTTCTACACTGCCCCAAACACGGTGGTACAGAACACAGGCATTAGGGGGTGAATGCGCGAGGATATATAATCGAGAAATCTGTGGTGCTTGTAAACGTTAAGCAAATAGCAGTAGGCAAAATTGGCGTATCAGGTAGGCTTGCAGGCAGATTTGCCGCCACATTAAAACTGACCTCCTGGTTGTTTATTTAGGCATTTTTTGTTCAGCTGGATTAGATACGCTTCACTTTAACATCCATGCCTCTCTCAGTGTGGTGACTTTGTTGACAATCAAAGGCTGAATGGAACTGTACGGACAAGGAAGCTTTTATCTTCTCATAAAACATCTGTTTAGTACGCGACTGTATTGAGACATTGGTTGCGGAATAGGTCATATGGGCTCACCCGACGTTTATCTGGCAGATCAGACGATCTGATTTTTTACGAATGTCTGGTAGCCAAACTAGACACTGATTCAGTGGCGAACGGAAACGGAACGATGAAACAAACATTAAAATAGTCAACCAGTTAGCGTCCACTAGCGAAGATTTCTGATAATAACATTAGCAAACGGTTGTGTTTCGACAGAAATTAGGTTATTGAAGACGAGGAAATTCTCAATTCACAAGCTGAATTCAGGACGATCGGATGTGTCACACAAATCAACTTGTAGTATAACAGAGTTGGGTAATTTGGTTGGAGCAGACTGATCTGTGATTCTCTATGGCTTTGGGCTATTGACAAGAAAGTGATTATCTCACAAAAGCAGAACAGGTTTTCGAGCGTTGTTAATATCAGTTGTTTTAACACGGTTACCGAGGATTATCCAACAGCTGAAGATACGCTATAGAGATCATGAAAAAACTCGCCTTGCAACTAAAAAACACTTCATCCATTGACTGACTTCGAAGATGGATTGCTGCCTTAATTTTTCTCATCCCTTGTGTTCGCTCTATTGCAATAAGTTGGCAACAAAATACACAAACACGTTCTGATCACGCATGTCTGCGTATGTCTCAATATGCAGTCTAGGTTGAGGAATCAGAAGGTTGACAAAGTTGGCCCACCTTAAATGCATATAGAAAAGCATTACATCACCTACGTTTTTTAGGTTCTCTAATCGGCAAAAAGCCCATTTGTACAACGCTCAGTGTTGAATTCCACTTCTTTTGAAATTAAAAACGTGTATTTATTGGTTTCATTTCTTATTTCGAAAGATATTCATCTGCTTCAATAGAAACATTTAAACCGAAAAACAGCTACCAAAGTCAAAACATAAAACAATCTGTTATGCGCTGTATGAAACCATAACAAATACAGAATGCGGCGAAATGGTTCATGCATCAAACAACCATTCCTGTCAAAAAGTGAAATGCAAAAAGAGGTTTCGCTACTTTGACAATTTTCAAGAACGCGTGATTTGTGACAAGGCGTACGGTAGTGCGCAAAACCTCCGAAAGCCTCAGTCTGGTCGGGAGTGGGTGTTTCGGATCGTAGCTGGTCACTCTTTCCTTGCACCTCGTGAAACGCTCCCATACGACCAAGCGTCTCAAACAGCTTTACCTGAGGAAGCCCAACTCACTGCCTTCTAGTGGTTGTGTTTCTCCCCAAAGCCAGAGGACTAAAAACCCAAATCCGGGACTATGACCGGGTTGATGAACCACTGGCAGCTCACCTAGACGAGTTGGCTAAAAAGCTTTGCTCCAAACCGGCCAAGAAGAGGCTTACGCACCACGCACACAGCTTCCTGGTCATGGTAGTGGTCACTGACTCGACCGGATACAGAAGTGTAAGGGACACCTTGGACGTTTGGCCCCGTCCGATGGATGTATGATCCTATGAGCTAAACACTGGCATTCAATGGATTGCGATTTCTACACACTGCCCTCCCCTGCCTTGCAGGTCAGGCTCTAACTTGCTGAAGGCTCCGGTTGTAAACTCCCTAAGAAAATTCACCCGCCTTAGCCTGTGCAACTTAACAGTATCGCGCCCTCGAGCAAATCATGGACCCTGTCCAATTTTTTTATAAAGATTTTTGTACTGTGATTTGCTTGGCACACAATCCGAACCCAGGCGTATATGAAAGTATAATATAATATACTGCGCAAAGCTATTAAGAAACTGAGCTTTCAGTAAAATGCATGACCTTCATAAGCTGACATAAGTGACTGCGTGGTGCGTGTCAACGGTTAGGATTGCTTGTTCGCCTAAGGGGTTTTGTTTGAGGAAGTTAGTAAGTCGAAAATGTCATCTGATGCGATTAGATCACCTTGGGTTGCCGAGTCAAAACTCACAGAACGCGCAAAACAATGGATTGCTATGAACGGAAAATTATATCACTCGGTTTTTCGTTGACCGATCACCTCATAAATAAAATTAACATACTTCCACCATTACCAAAATCACACAGCTTGTTTTCAAGGAGCTCAAATTTCGGTCCTTTCTTTCTTTGATACTAATTATTACACAGAACAAGTAAACAAAGTAAATAGAGTTAATTATATTGTTATACGATTTAATTGTGAATTCCGGGGGGTTTGTGCGGAGTAAAATTTAGCTCGGTTATGCACACCAGTGCACACGTCGGTNAAGGCAACCCGGCGAGGTTGCGTAACAGTGCAATAGTTCTATCGATCTGACAGTTCCCATAATATAAAGCAATATATGAGCAGAATGAAAATCATGCAAAACATTGTGGGCAGGACGCGTTAAAAAAGAAGCACATGAGAAACGTCATGGGACACGGAATATTTGCTGCTTCAAACAGACCAGACTACACTGGAGTAGCTGTTAGTAAAATACATTATTTATTCAAACTGTTTGGTCCATTACAACAGTTCTCCGATCAGCTATTCTGATATAATTTACCACGATCAAAACAGTACGTAGAATATTTTACGGATTCGTTGCGATGCGAGTTATTCAACATGTTATTGGACACAATGGACACCTCTCGTTAGCATGACGCTTCCAATGGCAAAAATGCGATTAAATTTATTGAATAGTTGCCCCAAAAAGACATCTTTTGAGGCGCGTTTCCCAACGACTTAACTGGAAGTCTAACAGTGTCGACTTGGATTATGATCAAGAGTTTTTTTTAGATGATTCATTCGGTCGAATTCCCCGTGCTTCGCTGTTCGCCTGCCCTCGAAACACCGGGACCGGTGTTGTGATGTTTCGCATCCGAATAGCACATATCACGCAATGAAGAACAGGTGTGACCATATTCACCGACGATCGATTCCCAAACCGTAGATTCAAAATGGGCAAAGATATTAGCTAAAACTAACCAAAAAACGATAAGCGAAAACTTACCTTGGAGAAGCGCAGTCAAAATAGTGATATCAATCTCATCACTATCCCCCTCGCCCATACGGAACACACTGATCTGCAAAAGGTATGGAATTGGAACAATAAAAAATAGCGTCATGTAAACAAACAAAGATCAAAGCGAAAAAATACACGAAAAAGAAAGCAGAACTGATCAGTTTTGCCTTCGCAGATATTTTAGATCGAACCAGTGCAGATCGGCGATTTACGCGTTACCTCTAGCAACCCATTTTCGGATTTTCATTGAAGAATGCAGTATACTACGTTGACTGATAATTGGAGAAAAAATATGACTAAATCTGATCATCAATAGCTCACGTTTATTTACATATTTGAGTAATTATGGTAACATTTTGATCACTTTCATGTGTGTAACTAGTAGAAAGAGAAAATGTAGAGTGATAGATTGTTTCGACTATTACCACACATAACATATTGCAAACTTCCAACGTGTACACATAGGTATGAAAGAGGGCACGGTTGTAGAACACGGGTCGTTTTAATTGTCAAAATGCGAACAATGATGGCATTTACTGGGGTCGCCGGTTTACGCGTGTGGGACGGACAGCATTTTCTACCTACCACAATGGCTGATGCTAGAGGAAGAGAAAAAAACATCGTTCCACGGTGGAATTCGGTCAGGTTGAATATACATATAACACCTGCTTGCGAACAAAAATGATGCCCACGCCACAACAGTAATAACATTAACAATCACAGGGAATGAATGGATTGGGATACAGGACATGGTGAAAGCAAGGTGATGCAGTTAAAATGGAGGATACTATACTAATGGAATAACAAATTTCTTTTTCTGTGTGTGTGTGTTGAAAACAACGGTTGATCCATTAGGCATTCCCATATGCGTTTGGAGACTTTGCACGAGATTATGAGTGTCGGTTTGTGAAACATGTGGCACAGAATTATGCGAGCAGTGATTTCAGAGTTCAAGAGGTTTATTTTTGAAAAATTAACTGCTGATCTTAACACTCCGGCTACGATACGAGGGAATTGCAGTAGCAAAGTTCAGCATAACAATTATTTGCTTCTAACCATACTTCTTCATGACTCTTTACTGAAGCATGAACATTATCTTCTCAGACATTCAGTCGTTAAAACTAGCACTATCTTTAAAAAAACGAAGCGCTTCGAGATCAATCACAAGGAAGTAATTGAAGAATCTCCAGACAACAACGCCAAAAGCAATAGTTGTATAAATCACAGAGATGAAGAGCAAAGATGAAGCCACGGGGCTACATACTAGACGTCGACGTTTCATGCACAAACGTAATTCGCTATATAGACCCTCAGAATCGCCACGGCGTAATTGAAATGTGCGACCAATTGTCCCGATCATTTGCTCTTTCAGCGGCCCAGGCAAATCCCTGTGCAGAGAAAAAGGTAACAAAATGCAGTACAGCTCATTAGTAGGCATACAAATAAATAGGTTTATTAGAAAACCATACATAAAACTTTTCCAAATCGATAGAATGACAAGGGTACGCATGTAAGAAGTAAAGTTAAAAGCAAGCTTTTCAGACTGCTAGTCAAAGGTGAGGGAGGAGGAAAAACTGAGAAAGCGATGATAAAGAAATGTTATCCATAAGATAGAAGAGTCAGCAATAACCTCTGAGTGTAAATACAAACGACCAAAAGAGAAACCGAATATGATCATACGGAAAACGCGATCAATCAATTCAACCTATGGGTTAAATTTATTGATGATCAAAGTATAGAATGGAATGCTTGGCTTTTGGTACAAACGAGCCTTTAGGGAATCAACACGATAGAATTGATGTTTCATTTATTAAAGTCCTTTTCATGAAATGTAGGATTGTATAACAAACGGTTAAGAAAAAGCAGCAGCCAGCCAAACGATTGGTTGAGAATAAAAGTAAACCGGGACAGGCAGCCAACGGTGGTGAAAACATACAGTTTGCGACGCGATGTCATGGTAACTAGCACTGCATGACCACTGTCGATTAGCCCGGACTACCCAGTAAGATTGGAGTGAGCTTTTCGGAGTTTAATGTCCCAGGTTAGTCTCAAAGTGCCCCCTAGTAACCTGTAAGTATAGTTTGGGTTGAAAATATCCTACTCATTGCTTATTATGCTGTCACTAAAACGAGAGCAAAAGCTAATCTCTGGAGTGAAGGGCAACTGGCATCTAGTCAATACAAGGAAAATGGAAAACCCTGATTCCAAATCACCCATGGACTGCCTCTAGGATTACGGGATATATATAATATGGTCACTGACTAAGTAGAAAGCCATATGTAATATTCACCCCAGACGCAATAGTCATGTACGGAGCGTGTATAATCAGACTGAGTGGACATCGACCCCAATAGATCGCGGATTCGAAGCAGTGCCCGAGTGTTTTGTGGATTAAACTTTCTGGGTTGCGTGGAGTCCAATTCGTTTTGGATTGGGTAACCGAGTGACAAAGGTCGATGTGACTGACTGACTGTGTTCGGGGTCGCAGATCAAAGTCGATTAAAAATCGAGTTAATTGGCTCAAGTTAACAAATTGGGAACAAGCTTGGATAATGAAAGAGTTAGCCTTATGAGATCGGACAATGGCTCGTTCTCTATACATCTACATTTTAGTTACAATTAGATTTGCAGATGATTGAAACCCATCTCCATAGCTCAACGAGTCATTGAGACAAATGCCCCATCAGTATGCCTCGTAGCAATAATGCCATAATTTTCCCTAATGTATCACGAAAAACGCAACTTTTTTCTGTCTCTTTATCCAAGTGTATTATTTCAACTACAAAACCCGCATCCAGTTGCAATACTGCGTCAGGTGATGTGTGATCGATGACAAGACGTTAAGGTTTAGTAGTTGTAAGAGTCTGTTTTGAACAGCAAATTAAAGTTGAAGCGACACTCTTCTCGCAGACCGAAGAAATCTCACATCGGCGTTACGCACAATGTCCAATCATCGATTCGCGGGATGTGAGGTAAACATATTTGATGAACTAAATAAATTATCTGATTAATTCATCGTGTAAATGAGGGGTGAGATAAAAAGCTGGGGAGCAATGGACAGCTGTTTCGACTTGGTTCGGTGTCATCAGCAGTGCGAATCCATCGACCCGACTGGGGATCGAACCCGGGACCTCACAGGTAGAACGCAAGCATACTACCCACTCGGTCACCGGGCAGCTGATCAGGGTTCGACCCCCAGTCGGGTCGATGGATTTGCACTGCTGATGAGACCCAAACAGGTCGAAACAGCTGTCCAGTGCTTCCCAGCTTTTCAGCCCACGCCTCATTAACACGATGAATTCATCATATAAACAAACACAAAATCCATGAGTCTCATAAATAAATTATCCCTGGCTCAGGAACAGACTGCATAAGTACCTTGACCTCTCAGGTATGTACGTCAGCGTGTGTGTGTGTGACTGACGTCCCAGAGATTTGGTAAACGGGACACATGTCAGATTCCTTCTGACAAATTTGATATCTGAACATCACAAATTCGATGAAACCAGGGGGCAAAAAGTGGTATGCGCACTAAGCCACTCCAGCGATTCGGCAGTCTGTCGTAGGTGAAACACCTAAGTACACTGTAAACACACATTTAAAGGTCAGAAAATGAAATGAAAAAACAAACCCGTTCGACTCTCAGTTGTCGTAAAAACAAAACAGCACTGTGGTCTGGTTGGAGAAAGGAAATGCACCTGTGTGTGCGGTTAAAGGGAACACAGTCTTTCAAGTAAATCAAATTGATCAAATATGCTAACTCACAATGGTGCGCGTACACAGACCCAAACATGCAAATACAGACCCAATGGGTAAATCAAGATTCAAAATATTCACTCAAGTTGTAACAAGTTTAGGTGAGAGGTAAGGAAACACAGCACATTGCAAGGTTGAATGTTTAATTATTCATTTTGGTTAGAGGAGGAATAAGTGCATTCGCATAAAACCTTCACGCAATTATTATTCAGATTTTGAAAAATACTGTGTAAAAAGCGAACATATAAATACACTGT